CAGCCCCAAACAGATTAAAATGTAATTGGAAAATATTTAACAAAATAAGTAAAGATACAATAAAGCATAGATAACATTACATTTAAAAACTAAGTCAATATGCAGCCTCCAATGATCTTTATGTATAGATTAATGGATCCTGTTTCTATTTGAGTTTGATACCATTTCTCTACAGCAACACATTTAAAAGATTGTGTGCTATGAACAAGCTGGATTTATACTAGAAATGCAGAGCTGTTTTTTCAACATTAGGAAAACATATTAGGCCATATTAATAACAAAACTAAGAAAAATCACTAACACATCAGATTTTAAAAATCTCTAGGCAAAATACAATATCCTTTTATTTTAAAAACAGTAGAGAAATAGGAATAAATGTACCTTTCATTAATATGATTAACAGTAACTGTCCAAAAACAAGAGCAAGTATTATCTATAACAGAAAATATTAGATGCCTTTTCAATACCAACTCAAGAGTAAATTCCAAGATCAGGGGTAAACTGGAGATGACTACTGTCACAACTATTATTGAAGATAGCTATCAAAATGTTAGCTGTAGTAATAAGACAAGAAAAAGAAACTAAGGGAATTAGAGACAAAGAAGAAATGAAACAATACAAAGGGCATGCATTTTAGAAATTCCTAATTATTGTAACTGAACAGTTACAAAAGCTTTGAGCAGCACTGTATAAGAAATTGATTTAACAGATATTAAACTTGTATTTCCAAAGATGAAACTGTCAATAGCAAAATCAGAATGAGAAGCTACATTAGCAGAAATTCCGGGAATCCTTAGCATGTCTTATTTGGAGTAGAAACTCATATGTGCATACAGCAAAAATCAGCGGAGTCAATTGGCAGAGATGCTGAAGTTCACATTGTATTCATTAAGAATTATGCCAGATGAGATGTTTGTCTTGAGCTTCTTTCTCAAACTGGAATTATAGTTACCACAAATGATGTAGTACAGGTACAACTTTTAAAGGACAAAGACCATCCAAAATTCGAGGAAATATAAAATCCTAATTAAGACAAGTGCCCCAGAAACTGATCTTCTTTCCAAAGTGTTAGTTTGTAAAAGCATCAGCCCAGGCAGGTTGTCTTTTCTCATGTACTACAGCTAAAATATTAAATTAAAAACTGACTCCTTTTTTGCTTGTCTTCACAAAATATATTTGGTTGGGCTATTTGAGTACTGACATTTAATTACAATAGTCAAAGGCTTTAGATATCCATTATTTCTTCCCTTCCTTCATTTCAGTGTGCTTTACATTTTAAAAACTCTACAGAGTACCTATTCATTGTGTTATGCCCATTTATTGTAAAAGATCTCAAAAGTTCATACTTCTGTGGAATTTCTTAATTGGACACTTTGTAGATAATAAAGGGTAACTATGACTGGTTTTCTTTTGGTATTAATATGTAAGGTATGTATAAACGTCATATAGATTCCATGCTCTCTCAAAATACGGATTAAACTATAATTATTTTAAAAGAAAAAAATTAAATCTACAAAATAAGCCTTTCTATATGCTACCAATAAAACAGAAGAAAAAGAAATGCAAATAGATTCCATTCAAAATTACTCCACTTTGCATCTGCTACTGTACTGCCTGGTTTCAGCTCCATGGAACAAGATGCCCCTTTCAGGATAAACTCATCACCAGGATGCTAACTCAAGCCTTGATGGACACCACCTCCCTCAGACTTCTTTTTTTTTTTTTTTTAGGCAATTGGGGTTAAATGACTTGGCCAGGGTCACACAGCTAGTAAGTGTCAAGTATTTGGTCTGAAACCAGATTTGAACTCAGGTCCTCCTGACTTGAGGGCCAGTACTTTATCCACTGCACCACCTAGCTGCCCCTCCCTCAGACTTGTTCTTCCCTCTGATTGGAGGGCTGGAGTACCAAACTCCTACCAATGCTTTCCTTTATAGCGGGCAGAAACTGGACTTTCAGCTCACTCCACTCTGTGGCTCTGCCTGGTTTCAACTCAAACTGATTGCCTTCTAAAGGAGAGGACAGGGGAGAGAATATAGAACTCAAAATATTTTTTTAAAACCAATGTTGAAAATTTTTGTTTACATGTAATTGAGAAAAATAATTAAAAAAAGAAAATATGTGAACAATTATTATATACTTTTTAAAAAATCAAGCTATATGCGGGCAGCTAGGTGGCACAGTGGATACAGCACCGGCCCTGAAGTCGGGAGGACCTGAGTTCAAATCAGGCCTCAGACCAAACACTTGACACTTACTAGCTGTGTGACCCTGAGCAAGTCACTTAACCCCAACTGCCTAAAGGGAAAAAAAAAAAGATAAAAAAAATATCAAGCTATATGTATAATAGAGATGTGCAGTTTAATTTATAATCCTCTCTTTTTCTGTTCTATTTTGTATAAGGAAACGTTCTTTTTCAAAAGGAGAACACTCAGGGTACTTTTTTTTTTCAAATGGAAAGGAAAAGAATCTACCAAGACCAGTTGTCTATCTACAAACAGTGACATTCAAAACTATCTGATATTGGTTTAAAAAAAAAAACTAGAAAAGTTGGTCAATGGGACATATTAGGTACATAAGATTCAGAAGCAATTCAAAATAACAGTATAGTGTTAGATAAACCCAAGGACACCAATTACTGGGGTAAGGCTTCACTATTCAACAAAAAGTGCTGGGAAAATTAGAAAGCATTCTGGGAGAAATCGGGCTTAGATCAACATCTCATAGCATTTACCACTATTGCTCCAAATACATACATGTCCTAGACATAAGAAGTCATATCAGAAAGAAATCAGAGGAACAGAGAAGGAGATACATCAATGGCTAGGCCCTAGGGGAAGAATTCTTGGACAAACAAGGAATACAGCCAATACAGGAAATAAAACAGATACTTCTCCAGCAGGTTTCTAACCTCTAACATCCCTATTCTCTCACTAATCTTCAATCAATCCCTATCTACTGGTTGCTTTCCTACTGCTTAATATACGACCATGTTTTTCCTATCTTCAAAAGAATCATCATTTGATTTGCCAATGCACATTTATTATAATCTTATATTTCTCTTCCCTATTATGGCTAAATTCATTGAGAAGAGAGTCTGAAATTGGTGCCTCTACTGCCTTTCCTCTCACTCTCTTTTTAACTCTTTGCATTTTGTTGTCCAATTGAATCATTCAACTGAAAATTCTCCTTCCAAAGTTACTAGTTATCTCTTAGTTACTAAAAACTACTTTCTTATACCCCTCTTTGTATCCCTAGCGCTTAGCACAGTGCCTGGCATATAGGTGCTTAATAAATGTTTGTTGACACTGACTCTATTCTCAATCTTCATTCTTCTTGAGGGTTACTTTATGGAGCTAGAAAAAGAAAACATGAATTCATTTAATGGAACAAAAGATTTAAATTTAAAGAGAAAAAATATATTAAAATGGGAAGGAAGGAGGCCTAGCAAAATGAGGTCCCAAACTATGGCACCAAATGATTTTGTACTGGCTAGAAAATAAAGAGATTGGGTCAACAGAAAAGATTAGGTATAATATATACAAGTAAACGTGTACAATAGCCTACTGCTTCATCAATCTCATAATCCCAGCTACTGGAGCAAAAACTTACTATTTGATTTAAAAAACTGCTGGAAAAACTAGAAAGTAGTATGGCAGAAACTTTATGTAAACTGACATCTCATTCTCTACACCAAGATAACTTACAAATGAGTACATAACTTAGAAATAAAGGGTGACATCATAAACAAATTAGAGGAACAAAAAAGAAATTACCTTTCAGATTTATGGATAAGGAAGAGTTCATGACCAAAAATGGAATAGAAAGAATCACAGAAGGTAAAATTCAGATAAGGACAATTTTGATTAGATAAAATGAAAAGATTTTGTACAAACAAAACCAATGCAACTAAAATTAGAAGAGAAGCAGGGAACTGAGAAAGAAAATCTTTGCATCAAGTTTCTCTGATAAAGATCTCATTTCTAAGATATAGATATAAATATAGATACACACATATAAAACCAAATTAAATTTGTAAAATGAGACCCATTCCTCATTGAAAAATGATAAAAAGGGTATGAACAAGCAATTTTCACATGAGGAAACCCAATCTATCAATAGCCATATGAAAAATGCTTCAAAACAGTGATATCAAAATCAGATAGAAACAGGGACCACTTATCCATACATAAGGATCCCTGTAGACTGCATATTGACTTAGTTTTAAAATGTAATTTTATCTATGTTTTGTTGTATTTTTAAAATTTATTTTGTTAAATATTTCTCCATTACATTTTAATCTGGTTTGGGAGTGTTATGGCCTGCATGGAGCCTGTAGGCTGAGTATATGGCAGCTCTGCTCCAAATCACTAATAATGACAGTAATATAAATTCAAGTAACTCTGAGATTCTACCTCACATCCATCAGATTGATAAAATTGTAAAAAATAAAATAAAATAACAAATGTTGGAAAGCCTGCAGGAAAACAGATATCTTAGTGCACTGTTGGTAGAGCCATGAACTGGTCTAGCTTTTCTGGAAAGCATTTTGGAACTATGTCCCCCAAACTCACAAAACTGTGTCTACCCTTTGACATAGTAATAAATCACTACGAGATTTATACCCCCAAATCTATCAAAGAAAGAAGTAAAGGACCCATTTGTACAAAAGTATTTATAGCAGTCTGTGCTGCAAAAGAAGTGGAAACAAAGAGGGTGCTCATCATTTAGGGAATGGCTAACCAAATTATGGTGCATGAATATGATGGGATACTATTATTCTGTAAGAAATGATAAAGGGGACAGTTTCAGAGAAACCTGGGAAGACTTGACTGAAATGATCCAGGATGAAATGAACAGAACCAGCAGAACAATTAATACAATAACAACAGCATTATAAAAACAAACAACTTTGAAAGAATGAAGAACACTGAACAATACAATGACCAATGTATTGATGGATTAATGCCAGAGGACTTGTGATGAAACATACTACCCACCTGAGATTCAGGAGAGGTCAATTGAAGAGCAGCAGAGTCACACCAAGATAGCAATTAACAAAATTATTCAATGAACTGGCAAAAAATGTAAGGTTTTGCCTTTCATAGATGAACAAGTTGATGCCTGGAAAAAAATTAAGAAAATAACTTTGGTTTAATAAAAACTACTAAAAATGGGTGAAAAGAAACAAAGTTGTATGGCTTCAAACACTTTGAGGCAGAAAATAAACTATGGCATAAATGTAAAGATTTAGATCACCTTGTAAAGGTTGGGGGGTGATGTCTTATTTGTATGTAAACAGTTTATTTAAAAGGGTAGAGAAAGAACTTTTATTTGTTAAAAAATGATAAAATGAGACTACAAAAAGTTTTGAGAGGCTGAGCTAAGATCACTGAATAGAAGGAAGATAAATAATCAAGTTCTACTCTACAACTCCTAACAGATCTAGAAAATGTACCAAAACAGTTCTTGATTGGGAAACCCAAGGGGAAAAATGCACTGAGTCATTTTTCAAGGCTAGTTTGGCACAGGGAAACAGAGAGATCTATGGATTCTGAGTCCAGCATTCCAGCACAGGGAGATGCTGTGCACCAGGGGAAGAAGTCCCAAACCAAGCCAAAGGGTCCTAAATTTGTGCAGGGTGCAGCAAATGATGTTGTCAACTGGCTCTGATGTCAATTGATGTCTATGGCTGCCTGCCCACTGCTGGGTCATAGAAACAGGGTGAACTGAGGAGGAGATCTGCATCTAGGGATGGTGTTCTAGGGTAAGGAGCAGATGCGGAAATTGAGGAGATGCCCATCAACTGGGAAATGGCTGACCAAGTCATGGCACATAAATGTAATGAAATACTATTTTGCTGTAAGGAAGGATGAAGAGGTTGGTTTCAGAGAAACCTGGGAAGACTTGTATGAATTGATGAAGAATATGGTTCATAGTTTGAGGGAAATGATTTACACAGTATGTGGGCCACAAACTTGTCTAATTTGCAATAAAAGAAACTGAGTAGGACTCTGAGCCAATAACCATTTATTAAAGGGACATGGCACACTTTAATGAATGGAACCTCAGATTTTCCTCACACTCTAAGGGACCTCAGATCTTCCTTATGATCTGAGATGCTCCCTTCCTCCAGGGCCTTTAAAGTGCTTGATACCTAGATAATACAGATGAAACAAACTAAAAATACAAAGTCTCACTGATTGATAGATCTTGACCTGGCCCTGCAGGAGGGTCTACATAAAATATAGAATCCAATTGGTTGACAAACCTATGTCTTGACCTTCTAGGAGGTTCTACTGAGCCAATGAGCAGATCTATCTTGACCTATCTTGACCTTTCAAAAGGTCTGAGCCAACGAGCAGGCTCATGCGCTGGGCTGATAAACAGATGTCAAAACAGCCACATGGACCAATGGGTCAGTAGATAGGCAGGCCACAGGCTGGCAAACAGGGTCACTTGGTGGTCAAGTGCTCATAGTCATCTTCCCATGCTGAGCAATAGAGGAATGACAAGGAATGGAGGTGTAGGAATGGAGGGGACTTTCTTTATCATTGACTCATCTCTGCCATACTGGGCTTGGTCCTCTCCTCAGCAGGAAGAAAGGGTGGAAGGTCCTCTAGTTAGCTTCCTATGATTAAGCAAGTGAACTTATAATCTTGTAGTTTAAAGTTTGGGGCCTATGATAAGAAAGAACCTAATTTATTGAATTATCCCTGAATGTAAAATATATATTAATATGAACTTTCCTATACAAATACTAGTTGATTAACTAAATGTATATTGATAGACAAGCATAATGCTATTAATTACTAACAATCACTGCCCCTATGGAATCACACTGAACAGATTAATACTGACTGGAATAAAATAGGGGTCTAATTAAAATCATCTATCACAAGTAACAACAATATTATAAACAACTGTGAAAGACGTAGGAAGGAAACAAGCATTTATTAAGTGCCTACTATGTTCAAGTCATTGTGCTAAACACTTTACAAATATTTCATCTGATCCTCAGAAGCACCCCAAGAGTTAGGTGCTGGCAGGAACTCTGATCAATGCAGTGCCCAACCATGATTCCAGAGGACTCATGATGAAATGTGCTAAACGTGCTAAAAGAGGTAATGGTCTCAGTATAGATTGATTTGGTCAGGAATTTGTTCTCCTTGACTACATATATTTGTAAAAGAGGGGTTGTTTTTCTTTATTCTTTTTTTTAATTGGAGAAGGACAGGGAGAGAAGGTAGATTACAGTTAATTGAAAAAAAATCAAAAATTTTTTAAAGAAATGCTTTTCAAGCACAAAGACTGTGATGGAGGGCCATTCTGAGAACTGATTAATGGTGGTAGCTGCAGGGCACTGTGGTCTCAGGTCATTATCTGCATGTAAGAGTTTTAAGATTTGAGAAGGTAAAACTCACAAAATAAAAATAAATGCAGCTGGAGCTAAAAGACGATTTAATAAGGAATGTTGATTTCATAGGGGACATTTGGTTAGTTTTTAATCTGTGAAGTGAAAGAGGAGTCACCAGGAAGCTCTGATATAAGTCACAAGCCTTTTTGCCTTGTCCCAAGAGTCAACCTAATCTATTTCACTAGGAGCTCTCTTGACTGCAATCTGAGTAGATTACAGAACATTCTGGTAAGTAAATAGCTGGGGAGGTGTTGTTGGTGAGTAGTAGTAGCTGCCCCTGGGGACCCAACTGTCCAGTTGCAGTTGTACAATGCTGCTACTTCTTCCTCCTCCACTTCGTACTCCTCCCTTTCCTTTTCTCCCTCTGTCCATGTAAGGAATCATACCCTGACATACCTGACAGACAGGCAGTCTGTCCAAAGGAATATAAATTTTGATTGCTTATACTTTACAAGGTATTTTGGGGCTTGGGGGCTAGATTTTTCTTCCCTATTTATTTATTCTATCATTATTTATTTATTTATTTTGGCTAGGCAAATGGGGTTAAGTGATTTGCCCAGGGTCACACAGCTAGTAAGTGTTATGTGTCTGAGGCCACATTTGAACTCAGGTCCTCCTGAATCCAGGGCTGGTGCTCTACCCACTGCACCACCTAACTGCCCCCATTGTTTATTTTTTTAAAACTGGGACAATTAACTCTTTCATTTCATGTAGTTTTCATTTATGACTTCTTGAAACACAGCTCTGGAAAACCAGGCTTTAGCCCATTGGGATTCAAATGGAGCTGGGAAGGTACAGCCAAGATGGTGGAGTAGCAGGAAGTAATATAGGGTTAGCTCCCTACCACAACTTCTCCAAATAGATCTGGAACATGCACTAGACAGAATCCTGAAGGGAAATCCAAAAAAAGTCTCACTGAGTCTTTCATCCAGCCCAGGGAACTATACATATACCAGCTCGGCACCAGGACATGGGTACCCCCAGATCCATACTAGGGCATGGCAGTGGGGACAGGTGCCAACTGGAGCAACTTTGTCACTTACTACCTAGTTTTGGATCACAAATCCAGGGCAGATGGAGAAGACCTGCACACATGGGTGTCATTCCCAGAGAGGAAAGCTCTGAATGGTGTGTCAAGAAAGCAAAAGGTTCAGAAATCAGCAGCAGTGGTTTGGATCAGACCCCAAGGGCAAAGCAGAATTTTAGTTTCAGCACCCAGCTCAGCCTGCAAAGTAATGGCCAGGACAGGAATCCTAGACAAAAGGGGAGCCCACAGTTCTGTCACTCTGCCTGGTTGAAAGGGCCAGAGTCCAGCAGCAGTATACTGCTGCTGACCAAAACTAATTAAGAGGGGCAGCTAGGTGGCACAGCGGATAGAGCACCGGCCCTGAAGTCAGGAAGACCTGAGTTCAAATCCATCCTCAGACCAAACACTTGACATTTCCTAGCTGTGTGACCCTGGGCAAGTCACTTAACCCCAATTGCCTAAAAGCAAACAAACAAAAAACAAAAAACAACCAAAAACCAAAACTAAGGTTAAGAACTTGCAGAGCTCAGACCATGGGGGCAGCAATCAGATTTTGCCCTGGACCAGAGCATTCTGGAAGCACTGAAAGCTTATAGGTCTCCAACCTGTCCCTAAGATCTTATAACAACACAACACTCAGTACCCCAAGAATGCAGCAAATGTTCTTTCCAGAAGGGTGGCAAAACCCAACCCTGACATCAAGTCAAGCAGTGGGCTGAAAATATGGGCAAACAAAAAAAAAAAAGAATCCCAGCATCATGAGCTCTTTTGTCAGCAAAGAAGGTTCAACTGGGAAAACAATCAACATAACTAATCGTGTTGAAAACAGAAATATTCAAAATGATATGATTATCTCAAAAGATACAGAAAAGGTCTTTGATGAAAGATAACACTCATTTATGCTAAAAATCCTACAAAGTATAGGCATGGGGGACCTTTTTTACATCATAACATTTATCTAAAAACTGAAAGAAAACTTTTTTCTAATAAATATAGATATAAAGCAAGCAGGCCTACTCTCCCCACTATTATTTGATATAGTTCTAGAAATGCTAACCATAGTAATAAGCCAAGATAAAGAAATTAAAAGCATAATTCTAGTAAAGAGAAGATAGAACTATCTCTCTCTGCTTATATGATAGTATACCTGGAAAATCCTAAGGAATTAATAAATAGCTTTAGCTATTAATAGACAATTAATAGCTTTTAGCAAAGTTGTAGGCTACAAAATTAACCCTTAAAACATTACTTCTATGTAATAATAATAACAAAATATAAGAGACAATAATAGAAAAAGAAATTTTATTCCAAATAACTACAAAATACATAAAGTATTTGGGGATTAATTTACCAAAGCACACAAAAGACTTGTATAGATTCAGTTACAAAGTGCTCCTTAAAGAAATAAAGAGTTGTAGCACATTATCAACAAGATGGAGGACTAGAAATTTTTTCTGAGCCCCATGATTTCTCAGACCTCTCCAAAATTGAAATTATGTGCCAAAAATAAAGTAAATTCAACTGTCTCCATACTACATACTCAAACTCAAATAGAAATCAATCCCTATAGGTCATACACAGATGTAGAAAACCACAAAATAACATTATGTTGTATTGGATTTTTAATTTGTTAAATATTTCTGAAATTACATTTTAATCTGGTTTAGGTCTCAAGTTTGA